GTTAAGGGTTCCTGCCAGGCTGAGGCGTTTAAGGGAGTCATGTGAATGCTGCAGGACTGGTGCTCTCCATGGGCTCGCTCATGTACTGCCCCACAGCTGAGTTGGCAGCAGCTGCCTCTCACCACCTCGCTAGTGGAAATTACCACCCTCTCCAAAACACCAGCTCAGGTGGCTCCTTTCACCTGCCTCCACCCTGAATCAGGCACCTTGATTCAAGATGGATTAAACAATTTAAAAACAAACAAACAAACAAACAGAAAACAAAACAAGACAATTACAAAACCAACTAAGCTGGCAGGTGGAAAAAATGAGTGCATCGGCAATTGAGTTGGTAGGTAGAAACAAATACCTTGGCCTGGGACCTGTGCAAAGCAGCTGAGAGCAGAAAGGGGAAAGAGCAATTTTGCCAGAAGCACATTTAAATTTGGAAGTGAATGAATGTATCATCACCCTCCATGCACCAAAAGGTGCCAGTTACCTACGCAATGAGGATTAAAGAGTCTGGCTATTACTTCTGCAACAAAGAATTTGTCTAATCACCTCATTCAGCTGCTTGATCTAGCTTCTTCATCTAGTTTAGGTTCTTCCCTCTTTTGGACATGCTCATCTCTCTGTGTATGTTTTATACATAACATACGTGTATGTCTGTGCATATAGTAAGAAAAACATCTATTTAGAAGTTGAAACTGTCAGAATCACAGTTTCCTGTTCACCCCCGCACAAAAGCTCTTGTCTCATGCTTCCAGTCACAATTCATCCATCTTGTGCCTCCATATTATGGAGAAGCTTTAATTATGTGAGTGCAGATTTCCTGCCCATCTCCCTGCCCCGTGCTCTGTTTCACCCCATACACAAGTACCACCAGTATTATTTTAGTTCATTTTGCTGGGGTTCCAAGGGGTCTCAAATGGGTCTGGATTCAAAGCACTGTCAGCGACGAGAGGACCAGGCATGCTCACAGGCTAACACTGCTGAAGCTTGGGTATCTGACTTATCTCTAATTTACAATAGGGTCACACACATCCGTTCTGTGCGGTGTCTGTCCCGACAGTTCCTGGCAGCACCTGGAAAAGTGACCTGGAAGGTGGGAAGAGTTGTGGTTCTCTTCCTCATTGTCAGCCTTGGGGCAAAGGAGACCACCAGGAGCCAGAATCTTTGCACTGGCAATATTCAGCGTTTGGCAGTGATCTTCCAAGGATTTTGTCTCATCGGTATTTTAGCCTCTCTCAGCGGGCCTCCTGGGATGTGCAATGTTTTTGTAGTGCTGATGCTTTGTAACTGCTGCCTTCTGCAGGCATCAGCATACCCATACTGCACGCTCCAGATTAACAGAGTGCTGATTCCCTTTTTCCTTATCTTCTTTGCCCCTCAGTGAGGTCATCCCCCCCCCCCCCCTTCTTCCATTGTACTCACCACGGCATTTTCTTTAAGCCAGGTTTTCCAGGCTGTTCAGAGCTCCACCTCAGCTCCGCCTTTTTAGAGTGGATTCTGGTTCATAGATTATGTACATTCAGGAAAATGAACTAGCCCCCCTCCACCTCACCTTGATGATGGTTCTGGCTTTGACTTCATCTTTTAATTTCTACATCAGTTTTTTTTAGTTGTTTTTATTTTTTTCCTTCTGCATTTCTCAGTTGTGCAGCACTTATTGTACATGGGAGCAATCACCTTACACATCCACTCAGATCGTGTTTGGGATGCAACTACTATACTCCTGTGGACAGTGTCAGACAACGAATGTACAAACAGTTATTTGATAGAAATGAGAGACTGGGAAAGTTAGCAGTGTGGGTCCACAGCAAATACCAATGACGTAATTTTATGATTATTTGTAGCAATGAGAAAACATCACCAGAACCCTAACATTTTACAATTAATTCAAGACAAACAGACATCAGCTTGTAGCAATACCCTTTACTGCTTGCATTAGGCATGTCCACCTGATTTATGGTTACAATGAAAAAAATCACCATCATGTAAAAAATTCAGATGGCGACACGAGGGACCGCATGACAAATGACCCCCAAAGATTTATACACTGACTCCAGCTGACAGGGATTAGCGGATCCAAACCATTTAACCGAGGTGCTCTGCTTCTGCCGAGTTCCAGGTGTCAAAAACTCACTAAGGATGTGATTTGATAAATAATTAATAAACCTACAAAAATGCAACAGCAGAATGAGGGAAGAGTGTATATTCCTTATAAATCACCTATTTGGTTGACCAGTCTCATTTTTACAAGTTCAAAACAAGCACAACCTGTTCATCTGTGGGTACAGAGTTACTCAATTTTATACACATTTTACACATTTTACTCACTTCACCGGAGCACCTAGCAACTCTGACACGTGCTAAACCTCAAAGTTTCACACTCTCTGAAAGTAAAACTTTACACTAGCTAGGTGGGTAGCAAATACAGATTACTGACATTTATAAAGAGAAAACGCTACCAGGTATATTCTGTCGTGTGAAAGCGATTGGACTAGCCAGTGGGAAGAATATAATGCAGCATGGCAGGCTTTAATTTACCTCTGCAACGTATCAGGTACCCTCAGCATTTCCAGATCAGAAATGTTTCGTGATAAGGCTTTTCCCTCTCGGCACCACTTTTCAGCTAGGTACTCCCTTTAACCCTGACAGTCTCCTTTACTTTCTCACAGTCTAAACACACCCCTAGAGCTCAGCAACTGTAAATTACACTACCTGTGGCTTTCTGACTAACTTACCAAAAAGTTTTTGTCTATGCATGTAGATCTTTCAGAATTAGCTTATTTCAATCCAGATAGTTCTTTAAACCAATATATCGTATGATGGATAATCTTCAAAATAACGTTTGCCACCAAGAAGGTAAAAATGTACTATCTATCTTAAATATTGTGGAGTCTTAGATATATTGGTGTGGTAATTTCTAATAAATGTTTAATTGACAATCATGAATGATTTGTCTCTTTTATTCTCCCTGTGTTTGTAACGCTTTTTCTCCTTCACGAGACTTATTACCCCAAGTATTTGCTATAGGACCAATTTTGGTCCTACTGAAATTAATGTGTACACCTGTTATCTTTGTTGAGAGTGAGAATTAGCACAATTTTAAGCACTCTTGTTCTGTATTTAAAGCCCAGCTAACCACCAGAGTTGTTAATAATAGTTTTTGAAGTGGTTATTATTTTTGCTACTGGACCACATGTACCTGTTCACCTACACTTACAAATAAAAAAAGGATGAATTCAGTTTCAAAGTACACAAGGATGGGGTTGCTGAAAGTCAGTGGTATTGCATACTCTTACGCTAGACTCCTTAGTTGAAATATCATCCTTTTATGTATTTGATTCTGCATTGTTTCTTTGGCTGATATAGGAACTAAATTAAATACAAGTGTTCATGTGACTATTCAGGTCATGGTTTTGCTTTCAAATTTGTGGCATGAAAAATGCATCAATAGGTCACTTTTATAATATCAATTTTTTAAATGAAAACAGCGTACAAGAGACTGAACAATTGCAAGTGAAGGGTATTAACTGTGCATTAGTTCAGAGTTTAATATAACATAAATTATTGAATAGTATTTCTATATTGAATTAGCGGAGCAAACTGCTGTTCTACTTAAATGAGTGTTATTGTTTTTCATATAAGAGCACTGAACACATAAAGAATCATACTAGAGGTGTTATGAAGCAGATTGTTCCACTGATTTTGACATATGGAGGTACTGTCAGGGAAGTATGTCTTCATTAGCTCCAATAAAGGGAACAGCCTTCCTGGTTTCAGACCTTCACATGTTAAGTTTTAGTTCACTAGGTTGTCCTAGACTTAGTTGTGTTAGTGACCTGTCAGCAAGGTACTTTGTACCTTGTACATCCTTTGTACTCATTTTCTCTTTGAACACTTTGCTTCCATTGAAGAGGGGGCAATGTTAACCTGTTCCTAAGAGCTTCTTTACAGTTTGTGAGCTCTAAATACTCCTTGAAAAACAAAATGAAACAAATTTAAAGAAATTACTGCCAAACATCTCCAATGATCTGGAATTTTATTCCATCCATATACATGCATAGTAACAACATTTGTTGAGAAATTATTTCTATCAGAAGTAGAACATTATCTTTGTGATCACCAGTTGCAGTATTGCTACTCTTATATTTAAATATATCTTATATATGAATTAGATTCATAATTGCAGCATTGAGTTTAGGGTTTTGTTTTAGACTGTGCCTTTCAAAAGATAAAACTGATTGATATGACCTCATTACATACAATACTGCTTCCAGTAATTCTGTTCATTCTTTATAAAGTATTGCATTTAACAGCAAAGGTTTAAAAATTGAGACAGAGATGCATCAGCGAAAGAAAATACAAGTACTATACAAGAAAAAAATTGCCATCTTCATTTAACGTACGTTTCAGATTAAGAAAGTGGACAGAAACATACTGCTACATACAAATGCAAAGCCTAATGACTAAGGTACTGTATCTGCTAAAATATAAAGTGCAAACTGAGCCCAATTGTTCAAAAAATTGAAATTTTAAGGCGAACTTGACAGCATAGTTGAAACTTCTTTGCAAGTTATATTTTAGCATATACATATATCTGCAACAGCATATAAGAAAAAAAAATCAGGATACACAAGTGCTTTTGAAGCTATTTCTAAAATGCTTTTCTGTATTGTTTGTGACTATTTTCTTTAAAATCTACTATACAGTGCAAACCATATGTGCTACACAATAACTATACAATAACATTACAAATGACTTTAATATAAAGTTTTTAAATAAAAAATAACATAACTACAGCTATGAATACTGCTGGTAAAATAAATTAATATTTTTGAAAATGGCACCAATAATACACTTTACTAATGGACTGTAATGAAATTACACCTTTAAGTCTTCAACTCAGCAATAGTGAAATCTCCTGATTGTCCAGATGTAATTCAAACAGCTTTCTTTAGACTGTATGGAACAATATGCTAAACACAGGTACCAAAGGTGACTGACCAGTTGTTTCATTTGACGTGTTCTGCTGCATGTGACGAGCAATAAAACTTCTTATGAGTTATAAAGTTTGAAAGATTGTTGAACTGGATGTCACACAGTCGGCAATACTTTCCACTGGTTGGGGCCTGGGTAGAACCATTCACGCCTTTAGCTATACTAGACAACTGTTCCTCTGCTGTAGGAATTGCTGGAGAGACATTTTCATTTGCAGTTAAGGGATTCTCAGAGATCCAAGAAGGAGACTTGTGCCCATCTTCATGTGGAGGATTCTGGGAAATGTTCTCTTGTTGTGGGTTTGCGGCAGGTCTTTCCTCCTGTTTCAGTCCCCCATTAACTATTACCATGCCTCGGTTTTTCGGCAATAGCGGAAGAGACTCTTTCTTCTGCACAGCGCATCCATTCGAAGGCGCCTGGCCTTTAGGAGATTCACTTTCTGTATTTGTGCTTTGATCTAAATCAGTATTATGAATGACGAGAGAACCAGAAATGTAATCACTTGGCTTTATTCCATAATATGGAGAAAGCTGATCTGCTCCTTTAGCTTTCTTTATTGCTCCAGGGTAAAGGCATTGTGGAAGAAACAAATGTTTGTTTTCTTCTTTTGTAGCAATAAGCTGGGCCGCTTCACTAAAGACTTTTAGTCCTTGAAGTGTTGCTAAGTGTGTGGAAAATAAGTTTCCATTAGGAGAGGACTGTTTTGAGTTTCCATTTTTCTCACATTTGATTATGCTTCTTTCGTAACTGACATCTGGGCTGTTTCTTTCACTTTCTGGGTTTTGAAACACCTTACTTTCGAGCTGTCCCAGGTCGTTACGCTGATGGGCAGTGACAGGGCAAAAATTCTGCTTATGAGCCAGGTAGTTCTCTACCTTGTTAAAACTGATCTTGCATACTGTGCACTCATGGTAGTCCAGCAGCCTTTTGGGAGAAGTGGACGTCCTCTCTGACGGGGGTAAGCATTTTTTACTGAGATCTATCGGCACATCCATCTCCAAGCAAGACACAGTGGAGTGGGGAGTATCACACTTTGAAACTGGAACGCACTTGTTAATAGACAGTGATGTTTCCAGGTGCTTTGAGACTATTCCTGGGAAGATATCACACCGTGGATGGTAACATTCTCCAAGGCCTTCTGTTGATTCTTGAGTAGATGTACAAGGATTGCCAAGATTAGCCACTTCTAGAAATCGCTGTTGAACTAGTGGTGGCCTTTGCTCTTGCTCTGGTAGGCACATCTCATACATCTTCCTTCGCTTCCGGGTACGCATTGTTCTCTGCATGGCAGGCACTTTGTTGGAAGCGGACCTCTTCAGTGGGGGATCGTGGCGAGTGGCACAGTAATACTGCTTGTGGACCATGTACGTTTCATGTCTGCTAAAAGTAATATTACAAGCTTCACATGTGGTCTTGTTAGGATCACTCTCCCCTTCTACTAAAGGAGCATTGGGATTCTTCACATCAGAAGCTTTTCCGTTTATCTTCTCATCGCTGTTGCTTGCAGTTGACAACTTCTTCGATTGTGCTGTAAAGTCTTTTTCATGACTTTTATTGTTTGGCCCAATCAAATCTAAAACACTGGAAGAGTTTATGCAAGATGGCTGCAGAAGTTGATTCTCTGGATCTGATGTGTGAGGAGCTGCAGTCAGGATGTTTATAGAGCTTTGACCATTACTGGGACTTACAGCTTCTGGCATTTTTTCTGGAACACTGGAAAAATCTGGTGACTTTGCCATCTGCTGCCATCGGCTGCTGCAGTAATGCTTTTTGTGTACCAAGTAGTTGTCCAAATTATTGAATGTTATGTTACACTCAAAACATGTAGCCCCTTTGGGCATCAAAGGACTGTAAATTACAGGAGGATAATTGCTACTTCCATGCCTCAGTCTTCGATGAACCAGTTCAGACATTTTGGCTAATATCTCTGAAGCCTGAGGAACCACAGTGATGTCCTGGGGAAAAGCAAACTGGGAAAGAAAAGGTCCCATTGGGAAAGAAGGACCAATATTAGGCTGAACTGGCGATGAAGCAAGTCTTGGACTGGATGGTTCAGATTTTATTTTAGTGTACGAAAAACTCTGCTTATTCGTTGCAGGCTGTGTTTCTGGCCTCTGGTTTGGAAGGAAAAGTGAAGCCTTTTTTTCACATTTATCAAGCTCTGTATCAGAACTTGCATCTTTAGTCTGCATGGTCTTTTGGCTCTGGGGAACATCATTTCTGCTCAACAGGTCTGTCGCTGGCTGTAAACCTTCTTCGTTTCTACTTGGAGAGTGTTCAATGTCACTTTCTCTCTGAATCTTGTTGCCAGAGACATGTAATTCTTGGTGCTGCAGTAGCTCCCTCTGAGTTTGGAAGCCAAAATGGCAGTGATTGCATCTAAAGGCAGCTTGAGTAAGATGCGAGAACAGGTGCTGATGAAAGTTAATCACTGAGTCTGCAGTGTAAGTACAAACTGTGCATTTCAGACTAGCACCGGGCGGGAGAAATTCTTCCATTTTCACTCCTATAGAAAACACAAGTAAAATACAAAATAAAGTGACCATTTTGCCCTTCATGTATACTGGAAAATCAGTTGCACAGAAGGTACAAACACAGTGAGAACAATTAATCTTCTTCTGATGGGATGGTATCAGTCACCCTGAAAATACTTGAATTGGTTCAGAATTTCTTTCCTCGAACTGCTAGAGGATATTCCAAGACTTCTGCTCTGCTTTGGAGAGCCTTAGCATCTGCATGCATTCAGCAGAGATGAAAGGAAAGAAAGAACAAGGTAAAGGATAAAAATAGACTGGACTAAATGAAAAGGTCTTAGAAATTACAGTTTTAACTAAGGGAGACATAATGTTCCCCACACACAATCACTGGATATTTTGAATGCACAGAAAGCACATCAAAGTCAAGAGGCTCAAGGTTATGATGTGGCTTGAGGTACAGCCCTCAAACTCAGAGTGCCTGAAAGCCAGACAGAAGTAGCACTTCGAGCATTATTGATGCTCAGCTCCTTGTTCGCATGAGTTGGCTGTAGCGTGTGAACAGATACAGAACTATCCTCATCAGGAAGGACTGATGAGTTGTGTTCATTGTGAAGGCGGGGGGGGAGTAAGACACAACTTCACCAACATTTCATCTTCCACATATAATGGCCATAGGCAGCTACTGCTGTAATACAACATCTTTTCCTCAAGAAATCATTACAGCTTTCCCTATCAAGAACAGTACATTCAAAGCTATCTTACAATCACTGCTGAAACAAAAAAACCAAATTGTTTCATGGTATTTAGAAATTGGAAATGCTTAAAAAAAGACAAGACCAAATTTCTCTCCTGCAACAACACAGATACTGATTATTTGTTAGACAATAAAACCTGAAACTGGTAGGGATGGTATTTGGAATCTAAAATGGGTATTTATTCTATCTACACACACACACATATACCACGCCTTGGTCAGGTAAACTAGGTTCGTGGTAGTTGGACAATACAAACCTGTAAGAATATTGTGGCTCAATCTGTGGGAAGTCATTCTGTCGGACCTGGAGGTCCTCAGTTCTCCCCTAGTATCAGTGACTCCCACAGTTGTGAGCAACACTTAGAATTTGAACTACCGTGGGACTCAGAGGCCAGCAGGAAGACGAGGAGATACACAGCATTTTAATCAGTGCTTGTTCCCCGTTAGGCACTTTTTCACCAGGGCGGCATACCAAGCCTTAGCTCCTCCAGTGCCATGAGATGGTGTTTCATATGCTTCCACAGCATGTGATACAATCATGGTGGAGTGTCCTAACAGACTTTGCATTTCAGTCGGGGCTCCATGCTCCCGTGTTGTGGGTCTGCTACAGCCCCCAGCAGGAACTGTAACAGAACCTGAAGCAAACACAGCACTAGCTTACAGGGCATTTGGAAGAGGAATGTTTCATTCTTACTGCAGAAGCTGTTATAACTTGTAATAATCTGTATAGAAAAATAAAGATTGACAGGATCTGCAAGAGAGCAAGAATGATTGAACTGACTGGTTTATGACTAAAAAGGAAGGGAAGGCCCGACTTTTAGCCTCAGATCTAAGAAATACCTACAGATTCTTAGAAATTCAGCAGGATCTCAGACCTGTGTCTTTCAAGGAACACAGATGCTTATCCCTAGATTGCAAGAAGACATGATCACTCACAGCTTATGGCTGAAAACCCTCTCTACACCTAAGCCAACAGTGTGTCACTAAACGAAAAGAGCTGAAGCAACCCTTTTACACAATGGCGAAGATTTCAGTATTTTCCTCTGCTTGGAGAGAAATGAATTTGTTATCTTCCAAGAGTACCTGGTTTTAATTACTAGGCTGTAAGACATGCTGGGCTGCATTCACCTGTTCTTGTTGAAGCTGTTCCTACTGTTCACTGAACAGTGAAATATTTGCTAGGGAAGAGACAGAAAATGGCAATAGCCTGATATTCAAAGTTAAGAACTGGAAGCACAAAAAGATCTGACCTCTAAATGAATGGCTAAGTGTTGTCTGTGTTGTCTACATAAGGAAGTTTCTCACTCAGCACTCTTCTAGTCCTGCTCTGGGAGGTACCAAACTCCTCCAAGGCAACATGATGCCTCCTAGATTTGTAATTGCCGCCCAAGTATCAGAGGAACATTTTTCACTTCACCAAGTCCACAGAGTAGACTCCCACTCCCCCAAGAGTTTTTACACTGCAGCTGAATAAGGCTTTCTTTTGTGACTAAAGTACACATTAATGTCCTTTAGACTCCATCCATTTAACAGGAGGATCAGTAACTCCGGTAGGGCCCTTTCCTCTTTCCAGACACAGCTCTGTACACTAGACAGCCAACACACCCATACCTGACACTGCAGTCTTTCTTATTTGTAGGTTTTCTTTGCTACTGAAAACTCCAATGCAAAATGTTCTGCAAACTCATAACTTGTGTTTCCAGATCTAATTCAAAACAAATTTAAACAGCACACTCAAAGGACCTTCAGGGAGGGAGATAAGATTCCTGCTGAGTTCCAGATTTTTAATCTCAGGAATTTTGTAATACCACTTTCTGTATATCTAGCATTACAATTTTAACATGACAAAGAAAATACTATCTCTGTTTTATATTTATAAGGAGGGAAAAGAATATTGGTATGAAACAAGAAGTTTTTATGAAACAAGTGTCCTGGGAAAAGCATACAGAATTCTGGACCCTTGTCCTTAAAGCCTCCTGCCTAAGAAGCCTACTCTAGGACCCCAAGATCTTATTTCAGAAGGACTTGCTCTCTGGTGTTGTGTATTTCTCTGCTGAGCATCAAAATAGGGTAGGTGGAGATTGTAGTCCAGCAGACTCACATTTGGTGGACGGCATCCTGAAGTAATTGATTGAATCTCTCAGAGACCAAGCAGCAGCAGTCTAACTGTGTCTGGATTCTTGAGCATACCTTCCCCAGTAAAGAAATGCTGCCTGTATGCGTGTATATACACATTAAGAGAGAGACAGCATTCAAATGAGGATTAGTAGATAAGAGAAATGACACTGGTTACCTGGGAGAGGTGCTTGGTGTAGAACACAGGTCAGAAACTGTTGACATTTTGGTAGTCTCTATACCCAATGCTTGCATATATTTGGAGAGACATTGATCCACTGAATGTCTATAGTGAGTAATTCTTCAAATAGCTAAATCTAGAAGATGATACAGGAAAATACATGGTACTTACCACTGTGAGAATTTAGGTGCATTTCCAGAGCTCTTGCATTAGAAAAACTTTTGGTGCACTGCGGAAAGGGGCAGACACTGGATATCTGCTGAGCACTATCTTCGTTCTCCTCTGACAGCTGAGGCCCCTCTCTTTGCCTCCCACTGCAGTAGTACATAAGATGGGCCTGCAGGTTCCGCTCGCTTCGATACCAAATGCCACAGGATTTACAAGGGAATATGTCCTCTACAAGCAAATATAACCAGGTGCAGGTTAGCCACAGTGCACTCAGTGCCAACCAGTTAACACAGCTGGATTAATTCTCCTCACCTCCCCATTAAACGCATGCTTATTTAATAAAATATTGAAAACAGAGCCACGGATTTATTAAAATGTCACTTTCAGGTGAGAGACTGAACATGGGAGACAGTTGTTTCTTTCAAAAGGAGATTTTAAAAATAGCTAATATAAAAAAAACTGCTAGAAGTTTTTGGCATGTAATTATTTAAAAAATGAAATTAAATTAATTTTGTTGTGAATATGCAGTACTAATTCAAGAAGTAAGCTGTATTTCCAATACATCACTACTCAATAGGTGACATCTTTCAATTGTGGTTTTTTTAATGTGTGCACAAGTCTTTCCAGCATTGGGCCTTAGAATTTTTGAGTGCTAATTGCAGATCATTCTGAAGAATGTATATTTTCAGAATGCTTATGCAGTTATTACTGTAAAATCCTGTTGTTCTAATATCCAGGAGGCCAGACTAGATTACGTTTCCTTAAAATCCTACAGTGTTGAATGTAATATTATACTAAGCAGCATGTTTATTTCCCGAGTTCCGGTTGTTATTAATATTAGAGGATAAAATTTCTAATGTACTTTTGTCCTCTTGTTTTTGGTAAATTGTTACTGTTCCACTTTTCACTATGCGAAAGGGATATCTGCTAAGAATGCAATTTTTCATTGCCTCCTATCCCAAAGTGTCAGCATGCTCTCTGAGGGGAAGACAATGCAGAGGTTGCACAGTGTGCTTCCCAGCAGCAGAGGGAGTAGATATTTTCATCATGTACTGAAGGCTACATACTTTACTCATGTGAAGAGTAATAATGAATACTGTGTATTTACACAAAGCAGATAGATATTTGGTTGTTAATATCCTGTCAGAAGGATACCTACACAGTACGTGTTGTGTATCTGTCTCAGAAGGACAAAAGACCTGTTTGATCTTTCTGAAAGCTGAACTTGTCATCCTATCAGTAAGAACAAGGAAGAAATCCCAGCCATTTAGGGTACATCTACACTAGTAATTTAAACAGTGACAGGGTCCAGACTACAGCACTGGAACTTCTTGTTTATATCGTTAAATCATGAGAATGGTCCCTTCCATACATTTGGCTTAAGTCAATTAACACCTTCCCCATTCCTGCATACAGTTCAGGAGTTACCACAGGCCTAGGATCATTCCCTGCAACTGGTTTGGACACTTCTCGCCTGTTTTTGAGACTAAGAGAGGGTAACATTATGAGTGCAGCCAGACTGTGCCAGCTGACCTCAGGATCAGAGAATGGGCAATTGCAGTCAACATCAAAACACATCTTGGTCAACATCAAAACTCCCACTGACTTCAGAATGCAGAAAACTGCTAGTGATTGTAATTAACTTAGTCTTGAAGAATGGTTGGCTGCTCTGAAAATATGGCATGTGTAGCTGATGATGTAATTCATTATCATTCATGACAATTTATGTTTAATTTCAAATAGTGATGTGTATAGGACAACTGCTCTGTTCCAATTCCTTTGGGTGAACAAAGTTGAAGACTCCAACCCATTGAAATGGGTGAGTTTTTTATTTGTTAAATATCTACAAATGCAGCCAAAATTTACATTGCTTAGTTCGCTTCTCTGACTGCATTGCTAATGCTTGTCTATTTTTCTGCTCATGAATTTGCATAAAATATTTTAATCACTACCAGTTTCTATTTTTCCATTTGCCACCGAATAATTGTGCATGAATTTAACACACAAACATTTAATGGAGCCGTTAGTATTCCAGTATATACCACTATTAAAACATTACTGATACAGCTTGCATCATTTGAAATGTCCACCTCGTGAAAGTTCACATTTCAGCATTTGTTTTCGGCTTCAAATGGTTTAAAAAAGTTGAACTGTTGAGTTTTCCGTAGAAGAGAAAGTCTAAAAGTAGTAACAGGGAATTCTGATATGGGCAACATGTCCTATTTGAATTCATTTGATTATATTCCATCACAGAATTGAACTTTCTGATTATCTTAATGAATTTGACTTCCAGCCATCTTTATTTCCTATGGGCTAGATGGCCTGGACAGTTTGTAGCTCCAGTTATGCATTGTGAATATGTGACTCCCATTACGTGCCATGCAGAGGAAATGCATTTGAGGAGTTTTGCACGGTGAGAAGATGGAATTCCAGGGAGAACAATCTATAGGGATGGGATCTGAAACTATTAGTCCCCTAAAGCGATGCAAAATAGATAAAGGCCACTTGAAGTTAATGTTTTAATTCTTTAAAAGCAAAATATTTCAATTTGTTTCAATGGATAGTTTCCAAATATTTCAATGGATCAATTCAGGAAATGAAACATTCAAGTTCAAGCTGAATGAGCCAAAGGTGATATTCTAATTTTGATTTTTCAAATAGAAAATGTTAGGAAACATTAAAAAAACCCTACCCTACAACACTTAATTTTTCTAGAAACTGGATTTTTTTCAGAGATCTAGCAAAAGAATGGTTAAGAGATGTCTCACTACAAATCTAGAGGTTCATTCAGCATATTACTGGACTCACATCTGGCTTGAGACTTTACTGAAGAAACTGAATTTCACCAGCTCAACAATGAAATGTGGAAACAGCCCTGTCTGGTCAGAGGCAGAGTCAGAACCGGGGTGGAAAGTTCTGGACAGTGAGACTTGCTACTTCAGCAGCCTCCTGGAGTTAAGAGTACACAGGTTACTCCGAGTTGCTGCTAAGCCTGTATAGCAAGAGCTGATGCAGTTAGAGCCCTCTTAGCAGCAGAAGTAGCAATGATCAGAGCAAAAGGCAGTGCTGGCAGCAAAGGTGTTTCCAGAAATTTGATGCTGTAGAAATCCGACTACTTTGCCAAAGCCCAGAGTTGGCCTCCTGTAGATTTACACAAAAATACATCCTCAGCTGAAACAAGCTGTGAATGAGTCGCTGCCCTTTAGGCTAGGTAACTCCCTCCCTGGTGGCTCCCTTGCAGCTGTTGGCTATAAACACTGGTCTGCCCTAACTGTGGTAAACTTGGTGGTCCATTTTAGGGGCTTCTGACACCTTCTTTTGGAAAGGTCCTGTACAGTACTAATTGCTGGTTCTGTGAACAGGTATGTCAGCTCACAGCAGCCCCACTGCTAGGGTAAAAATGAATGTGCTTAGCTAAAGGTCTTGAGGTTGCTGCCAACTCACTCTCTTGAAGGGAGGACTTGGATGACTTACTTAGACATTTTAAGGTTTATCTTTTAAAACAGACTAATAATAAACATGTAACTATCAAGATTGTTTACCCAGAAAATAAGCAATTAAAAAAAAAAAAGGAAAAGATGGAATGAAAAGTATCATCACAGATATTTTAACTAGTCCTGTCTGAAGAGCTTGAAGGTAGTGTGTTCAAGATACAGTGCTATTCAGTGTGAGCCCGCGTGGCAGAACATGTGCCTGCGTGTGCATTCACACCTGAAAGACTCATTACAATGCTTACAAACCACGGGAAGCATGGGGAAGTGCTCCAACATGGGGTCTTAAATGGACAGGCTTAAAAAGTACTGAGACCTAGGGATGTGCAATGGGTCTCAGTGATGACTGGTAAGGATCATGGTAACAGATAATGTATTTGAAAAGTACTTAGAGAGGAGGATGAGGAACTAGGGCTGCATAAAAGTAAAAAGCAGTAATAAGAAAAAGTTAAAGAAATGAAATTTAATAAGCAGAACATTAAAGCTGAATTGTCCCAGCTCAGGAACTGACTTATGTACTCACATCCCTCCTCTCTAAGGACAGCACTTAATTACATGCTGTATTTTGTCTATTGATGTCCAGAGGACGTGAAAACATTCTTGGGTAGCCACATTGAGTGGAGATACTACAGTAAATCAGGACTACTATAAAGCATGATCTCTGCTGCATTTTGAAACGGCCACTGAAGAGATGTTTTCTTTCTTTCCATTGAGTATCATGAATTATTACTAGAAGCTGCAGCTGTAAGGAACAAGCTTACTTGAGCAGCAGAGGCTGGACTTTGTGAGCCAACAGGCCTATCTTATCTCATTTTTTAACAGTTTCTGATCCTATTGCCTCTGGGAGCAAATCACAGAACCTCCAGACGAGGGCAGGTCAGGTACTCTGGGTGAGGCTCTTGCAGAGCCTGGCTGCCAGACCGCTCTTCTTCCTCCTTTTATGTCTGTGAGTTCATCTGAGATGATGGGGGAACAAAAGCAGGCTTTGAGCTGTGGGTTTTAAGTCGCGTGGTTTCTGTGGTCTTGAATTCACTATTGCTGTATTAGCTCTTCATATGTGCCTTAAAGTACTGCTGTTTTAAAAAAAGCCAAAGAATAGCATTCATCACTTACTGTTCACAATAGCCGTAGGCAAAATAGATGCCATTGCAGCTTGTTGAGGGAGCAATTGTATTGAGTCCAGCAGGCGTGCAGGATACATCCCTTCTGTGAGAGTCATCTGACTAGCAGCTTGCAGCCTTGAGTCAAAATCTACAACAAAGGCAATCAGCTCTTCACCCTCTGAGATGGCCTTGGTCGTGGTACACCAAAGCTGCCCTCCTACAGGAAACATAAAAGCAGAAAGATTTAATTGACGATATCAGATTCCAGAACTTAAAACATCAGTGCCATATCTTCACACTCATTCTAAAATTTTGATGGTTTATTGAAGGTAAAGAGGCAAATAATTTTCACTTTTACCATCTTCCTTCTATCAACATAAGAATTTTCAGTGTATAACAGTTTGGGAATACTTTTCCTAATTATTTGCAGCATGAATATTCATTTTAATTTTTCATTTTGTCTCCTAATAAAAATTAAGATATAGGTCAAAATATTTTATATGGCACTTTTCTAATCATTACTTTTCACCAAACTTCCTATGTATTTTTTCATAACTCCAAGTTTGTTTTATTTTTAAAACCAAATCACAGCACAATAAAACCAAACAGCTGCAAGAAAGAAATCAGATTTCCTCTTAAGGACGTTCTTCCCCTCCCTTATGTTTGCTACCCTCTTCCTCTAAAAAAATCTTCACTTATGTAATATTCTTTGTAACATGACTGCTTTATCTCTGCTTACACTGACTGAACTTCCTGAAAAGAAGATATGCCAAAGATCTGTTTCATTAAAGCTTATTCAAATAAAGATTTGTTTAAAAGGGGGGGGAGGTGGACGAACTTTCATCAAACAGTAAGATACACTATAGCTCTGTGCTGCAAGTGTCACGTGTAGTGCATTAAAAAGAAAATTAACTATGCGAGTACATCTACTAATGTATTTGAATGCGATAGTGAATGCTCATTTATTTAACATGTTTAGACAGGCAAAGCACTTATATTGTGTTATCTACACTCTCAGGCCTAGATACATATCCAATACAGTTATGCCTGAAATAATGTTGCATACTTTATATGTTATAAAGCTTTTTTTTTCCTCAGGTTTTGTATATATAGAAAAAGCTATATGTTGTATTCATTAGGCAAGCAAAAACTGTACTCGTTTTGATAAGTAATATTGCTGTGTTTATCTTTCGGCATAACTGCCTTTTCAACTGCACTTCATTTTTTTCCCCTCAAAGAGATTATAGTTTTAAAACAACTTGTTGCAAAAATCTGGTGGAGGAGATAACAACAGTGTATGATATGCCACAGCTAAATGGAAGAATTAGGACATTGTTTTAGAGAAATCTTGGACAATTAATTAAACCAGTCTATTAGCTTTCAAAGATGAGCAAACAAAACAGCATCAGTGACAATGTGTTTCAGTGGAAAAATAAAGCTAAGCTTCCAGACCTCAAAGTGGTGTGAAAGTTTCAAAGCAGAAAAGTGTCTTTGTATTCACCCTTCCGTAATACAGCAGTTGAAGGTGGCTCCAAAGTTTACAAACAATTTATTGTGATGGGACCAAAGCATACTAAAGTTTACTACCCTCCAAAATTACAGCATTAAATGGTGCAAATCTGAGTAATTTCCTCTAAAGAATAAGAAGATGAAATGTGAAGATAGTGCCATAAATGTCTACAAATGCAGAATCCTAATGACCAAGCAGGAATTCAAACATTTGAAGAGCACAGTCTGACTTATTGCCTGATATAAGTCAGGAGCAAATATACAGAAGCCTTCAGAGTTAAACTGGTATAAAACCTGTTCAAGAGAGAACCAGGCTAAACTCCTAAAGTGTACTTAATTAGTCTCATAGATAAAAATATGTGATACACACGCTGCAGTTTGAGAACCTGAAACTGGGTACTCTCACTGCAAACACCACACAGCCCATTTTCTGGGAGGAACAGGGTTTCTATTATTAACATGCACTTCTATTTTATTTATATACAGAAGGTGCAATAACCGACCAACATGTTTTAGCATATTTTAATATAGAATAAGAGCTCTTCCTAGACTGTATTATTCACTGAATTTCTTAATGAAATAAAAATGAGTCGCTGCAGAAGAACCTACTGAGACTTTCTCTATCCCAGCAAACATCTTGACATGCTGTACCCTTGGGGGGGGGAAGAACGTGTAGTTGATTACTGGGTCTCCAGCTGCAATCAGTCTAGATCAGCTAAAAGGCTGACTCAGTCTCCTGGTGTTAGAGCTCCTCAGGGTGTTGACTCATGTCCAGCAGCAGATTACACTCGGACAGCTGAAGCGAGCGGTGACCTCGGCTGCCTGCTCCACCCAGCTCCTGGAGGCTGTCACACCTACGGCATGCACAGCTGAGTGGGATGTGCGACAGCTTTGGAAGCACAACAATCTCTAGCTTGGCTTATTAAAGGAAACCAGAACTACAAAAGTTTAATCCACTCCTGTATTTGAATACAAACCTTCAGCCCAGCAGGATTCAGATCCAAGAATTACATTGTTATTTTGTTTTCTTTATCCCACTCAATAGAAAATGAGGCATTTAAGTGATCATGACATATGTGTCACGATATCGTATCAGTACATGATACCGTGTTAAGTTAAATCCCCAGATGAACTCCCAAATGATGCATGCTTCCAGCTACTGAAAATGCAGTATACCACCTCTGCAACAATATTCACCCACAGGGACAGGACACAGTACAGTCCCCTCTTGTCCCCTTCTATGCTTGGTTGCACAGGGTAAGGCAATAGTTGCTGTTTTGAAAGACGCAAACGACTTTATTCCCCTTAATGTAGTGAATGCAAATATGCTGGCCATCATGCGCAGCAGGTAAACAGTGGAAGAGAGGTCTTCTTGAGCCTTCTACTGCGCACTCAGGAAAATGGAGTGCAGAGAACTTCGCAGAGGTTTCCAAACTTAATGGGAAGTTCCAATTATGATTATCATATGAATTATTATGCTGTCTAGACACCCTTGCCAGGGATGAGGGCTTCCTTACAGGGGTGGCTACGCAACAGGAAAAAAGTTCTTGCTTCCCACCAACATTTCTACAAGCTAAGACACAACTGACATACACAGTAATTTCTCACGAGCACATCTTTTCATAAAGCAAAGGGCAGCGTTAACGACAGATTTTCAAAAGTAAATAAGGATGTCTATAAATAGTCTTTGCCAAGTACAGGTGGCAATGGAGAAGGAGATAGGAAAATGTTTGCTTGAAGTATTTGCAAGACATGAAGATTTCATAAGGAAACGTAAAGGCCTGTTATTTATATGAGATGAAGTTCTGACTAAGCTGGCTAGAATTTTTTTAACCAACTGTTCCTTTTTTCAGAAAAAGCTTATAGGGGGGAAATGGTTCTAACAAAGCTTTACCAGGTCAAGTTTCCCAGTCCTAAGACAGACGCAGTCATCAGATGAAGAGAAAGGAAGAACCTCCAGATAAGCTCTAATAGGGATGAGTGGCAGTGCCTCAGAAATGAAGTTGTGGTTATACTATTTGGTGAGGAGGCAAAACAACGGTAGACTGATGATTTTGGCCCTCTTCTCGCCCGTAATGAGTACACTGGTCATCCATTTATACTGAAAAGGGTCTTACTGGTTTAACATGGTGGGGCAAGAAAAGTCTTGTTCTTGTTCCAGTGCAGAAGGGAAGTTTTTGAAATACCAGAAGGCTTTGTGACACTGGAAAGCTGTTTTCTCTACAAGTCTAGCTCTGACTCTGTGAAGTTGAAAATAAGCTTCTTGAGCCTGCAATATATTGTTTATCTATGGTTAAATCAAAGAAATTTACATGATATATAATACATAAATGTCAAGCAGAAGAGGAGAATAAAAATATCTGTAAACCCTATGTATTTATTTGAACTCTTTTTCTAGCTTACATTGCAATTAGAAATGCTCATTTAATCATAGAAAGTTGGGAAAGTTAAAGAATATCATGTTGTGAAAACTAGAGCAAAAAATTACACTCTAATTGCATTGGCATGAGTTCTTTATCAAATGACATCAGGCACTGAAGCAGCTATCTGATACCTTCAGAGTTTCCACCAAATTGAAAGGTTATTTCAGGATTCTTTTCTTTGTCTGCATCTTTCACTGCAAACATTTCTGCTGCTTGGAAAAAACCCTTAAATAAAACAAAAAAACAAACCAACTTTCCATGCAAAGGAAAAAGTAAGGTCCTGATGTCCCTGAAAAACTGTGGACTTACTGTTCTTTGTAATGTTTATGATCAAGATTCTTGTGCAAACAGATCTGGTTCCTAACAGGAAGCTTATAAATCATACTCATAATTGCTGTCAAAACTGCACTGGAGTGTACTGCAAGTTTCGATAATAAAGAATAGAGTCACAGTTCAAACTTGATTACATTTTGGAAATTCATGCTGCTCTTACAAGAATCAGTGGTCTTAAATATCTTCTTCTCCTGCCAAATTTTTCACTCGCACTTTTTATTATTTATGAAATCAGTGTCTGCACAATGTCATGCAGACCTCTGCTGATAAACTCTAATTAAGATTAAGACAAGCCTTTTGGAAAGGATCCCATCATTAGCAAACATGATAAACACAAAAATACTCCCTACTTGTCAACCAGGAGCAATTCAGTAACCTAACAGTATTATCTGTTGCTAGGCTACAGAGCTGACAAAGCTTCAATTATATTGTATGGCCATACCTATAGAATACTGTATAAGCAAAATGTATCTAATATAAAAGCATTTAACTTCATCCATGCTATCTGTAATTCATGGCTTCTTTCAATGGCAAAAATCAGGTTAATAATTACATAGCATGCTGGAAAAATCTTAGCGATGTGTCATGTTTGCACAATTTTTTCTAATTTATCTCTATGACTGATAGACATTTGCTTTGTAAAAATAATAAAATGCAAGCAATGGGATGCTGTAAACCACAAGCACAACTACATCTGGGCTCATCAAGATATGGAACCACACTTAGTATAAAAAATATATAGTAAATTGAACCAATTAAATCATATTTAGATGCAGTAATACTCTGTCTTCTGTATTCAGAATAAGGAGTACTGTAGTGATAGATATGCATGCTAATACAAAACTTTATTTTATGTAGGACAGACATCTAAAATACAAGGGAAACTTGCTTTTTTTTTTAAAACAGCCCTTCATTTTTTCCTTCTACATTTGGAACTTTTTTTAAACAGAGC